TCGTTAATATACGTTACAGACTATTTGTTATCAACAATAAATGTAGTAATTTATTAACTTTTTGTTAATTATAGATACATTTTCACGCAAATATGTTATATATACTAGTAATAACCTATAATTTAGTAATTTTTCCACTTGTATTATAAATTTACGTTGTGACCAATTTGTTATTAGAAATAAGTGTAATAATTTTTACGCTTTTGCAAATTATAGGTGCATTTAAACATTAGTATGATATTGTTCATGTAATAACCATTGAAATAATTCTTTTCTTGTACTATAAATTTACGCTGTGAACAATTTATTTTTAATAACAAATTGGATTACTTACACATTTTTATCAACTATAACTGTATTTGAATGATGTCTTTGCTAAGAATTCCGTCCACTTGCTTCTCGCAGCCTCAAAAATCATCAAATGTTTAGCTGAAATATCGAAAATTTACAAAAGATAGAAAATATCTTAAACTTTGTGCGCAGCTCTTAGCTTGGTATCGTTTGCCAAAGATTTCTCTTTGGAAAACGATACCAATTACCAGGTCTCACCACGAGGAGGTGGCTACGCGTCGAGACCCGGACATGCGCCTTAGTGGCGCAGCCTGCTGGCGCTATCTGTAACAAAGGCACGCTATTCTAACTTGGAGCGAAAGAAGTTAAAGCAAATCTACTGACACTTTATTAAATTTCGTGTCTTACAAAAGGGACTTCGATACGGTATACTAAAATATATTACTCTACTGCCACAACGCTAAGACTTTAATATTCTAAGTTCCCACTAATTTAGGGAATTAAATATGAAAATCGCGAGCAAAGAAAAGCTAAGAGAAAATCGCGACGCGCCCGAACGAGTTCGCGATTATTCGAAAGACCGACTAGTCTAGGCGACGTACTCCCGTGTACAGAGATAACTTCATACCTCGGCACCCTCCCGATCGGGCCTAGCTCAATTCCAGTCACTGTCACACTCGCCAAGACTTACACGTGGACCAAGGCTAGTCCCTGAACCAATGAAACTTCTAGTGTCAACGCGAGGGCCCTGCTGGGCGGTTGCCGGCCAAGACAGACACTTCGCATCCCAGCCACACGGGGTAGAACTTAATCATCCCTGTGGTCTAACCGTAGATGGTACTAGTCCGTCAGCCAGCATGTGCCCGAGCCCAAGTCGCGTACGACTT